TGTGTGTGTGTGTGTGTGTGTGTGTGTATGTATGTATGTATGGATAGATAGATAGTTTAAAGGAAGGATATATTAATATGAGAAACATGAACAAGAAATATTAATTTTCAGGCAAAATGAAAAGTTTCTTTCTTTAACCAAGTTGACTCCACATGCAGAGTCAAAGCATATGTAATGTGCTCTTAGTAATAGTGAATATAATAATCCTATTAATGACAAGTGAGATATTGTACATTGTAACTAGCAGCAATAATGGCAACAGTACTCTTTTTCTTTTTTTAAGTGTTTGTTCAACTTCTTCAATGTCACAGCAGTTGCATTATGACGCAAATGCTTCTTACTCCTCGCACGATTCAATGATGAAACCAATACATCGAATGCTCACTCATTACTAAAGATCCCTTTGCCAGTCCTTTCTGGCACAGTAGTGCCAACCTTCAAATGGGAGCTTGGTTTCATACCAGCGTCAGAAGCAGGTCCTGGAACATTTGGAGGCTGCAGGTTCTGCTTAATCCATCAGATTCCAACTGAGCAGCCAGCAGGAAAAGCTTCCTCTGATCAGCTACTGAACTCAGGGAGAGAGCCTCACGCAGCTCCGGGACGCTAACAGCGTCAAGCTTATCCTGGATGAGGGTATAAAAAGCATTTTAGTCTAAATTCACACTGAAAAATAAATCAGGGTGCCTGGTACTCTATTAAAGAGATAGTCTACCCAAAAATGAATATCCAAACCTGTATGACTTCCTTCTGCAGAACACAAATGGAGATATTTTGAAATGTTAATTTGATGTTTGTCCTTACAATTAAAGTCAACTGGGTCCAGTTTTGTTTTAAACACCTTAGACTTTGTACGAGTATCAAATCATCAAACTATCAAATCAAGTTACCTATATTTATATAAGCAGCTTTACTGTAAACTATCCCTTTAACTAAAAAAATAAATAAAATAAAATAAAAATAGAGGCTAAAGATCTAGGAAATCAATATGGAGCCTTTCTGACATTGTAAACAGGGTTAAAGTTTAAACCAAGAACTGAGCCTTTGGTTACCTGCTTGTTTCCCAAGACCACCACTGGAATATCAGTGTCTGCTTTAAGTAATCGATGGAGCTCGTCTTTGGCCTGAGGGAGCCGGCCTCTATCAGATGAGTCCACCACGTACACCAAGATATGTGTTCTCCTTAGTAATCCACCCAGTACATTCGCAAGTCTTCACCCCCTCCAACTGATGGGAAAAGATAATCAAAACAGGAATTGACTGTATGATGTGTTATTACTGCCATAGACACAGATGAACAGGCTTTTCTAAAATAATAAATAAGACATTAACTGAATCATTATTACTTGTAGAGCAAGAATTAAAGTATCCCACATGAGAAATAGGAGCATACCGTTGTGAAAAAGAAGTGCACTTAATTGTATTGAATAGTAGTGTACTTCAATTTGAAAAAAAAACTGAACTTACAGATAACATAATATCAATGAAATAAAAGGCAATGTAAGAGTTCTTAAGAGAGTACAGTTTTATTAACTACATTTCTTAATACATTCAGCATAACACTTTAGCCATTACAAGACAAAAGTGTTAAGAAAATGACATATGGATGTAAAGATGTACATAATCCTATTTAAATGGGCTAAAATACTGTCAAGTTCACACTCTCAAGCTGCATTTAATATAAATTTAAACTATAATACTGTATATTTTAAGTGTCAGAAAACATTACATTTTAAAGTATTATTTTAAAAGTATATTCTTTCTGTAAAAGTACTCTTTTTAAAACTGTGCTAAATTGTACTTCTTCCTTACAAAGGTATGCAAGTGAACAGGGTGGTCTGGCACTGATCCATACTTTCCAAGAAGTCCAGCTGGCATGCAGGTGTGTGTAGGCTGATGAAGTTGAAGCCACGTGTGGGTCGGCAGCCCCTCCTGGAGCCCACTCCACTCAGCCCCTGCAGAACGCTGCTCTTACCAGCGCCGTCCAACCCAAGAACAAGCACCTGCTTCTCACTGTGCTCCTCCTCCTCCTAAATATATACATGTTCATGGAAGAGAAGGGAGTGAAATGAGCAATGGAACAGAATTAGATTTAGAGTCTGCCAGTGCTTATCCAGAGTGTGGTGCTGGGATTTTATCGCAAGCTGCCGGAATTAATTATGCAATTCTGTGTACAAATAGTCAGAGTCTTGGTATCATTCATTAGTGTCTTAGTTGTGTAAAAACAGACAGACTGACTAGTTTTC